AGAACCATGTGAGGATCTATACCCTGTTTCCCCTGCTTTTGTCAACCACCATTTTTATTTTTAGGAGGCCTAGACCCAGATCTCCTTGGACCAGTGGGTCCTGGAAAGTATAAACAAGGGAAGTTCCAGCCAATTCCAGTCCCTTCCTCCTCTCCCCACTCTCCTTCCCTGTCCTATTTTAGGGACCCCTCTCACAAGACACTGTTAAAACAGGAGGTAGATTCCCTTCTGCAACTCAGAGCAATGGAAGAGATGCCCCTGGAATTCAGAGGCATGGGGATCTACTCCCATTACTTTTTTAATCCCAAAGAAAAAGGAGGGCTGGCATCTGATTCTAGAGTTGAGATGTTTCAACAGATTCATCCATCATTTCAAGTTCGGGATGGTAGCCCTGGCCTCAGGTATGCCCTTATTAGATCCTCAAGATTGATTCAGTGGTCTCTGCCTTCAGGATGTTATTCCCATCTGTCCATAGATCCAACACACAGAAAATACCTCAGATTCATAGTAGGGGACTCTTACTACCAATGTAAGGTCCTGCCCTTGAGTCTCTCCATGGCACCAAAAATATTCTCTCATTGCCTACTAGTCATCACAACCCACTTAAGAAGATATGGCATTCAGGTATATCCATACCTGGATGACTGCTGATCTGGGGAAAATCTCCCCAGCAGGTGACCAGGTTGATTCTCATGATATTAGGGCTCTTTACCACAGTGGAGCTCAAGATCAATAGAGAAAAAGCCACACTTTCGGTAACCCAAAGTATAGAATTCATACATGCTTTTACCCAGCACTATTCCATAGCTGAGGCTTTAAGATCAGATGCCTGCTTTGGTAGAGCTGTCCTGCAATCCTTGTTTAAATAGGACTCCTAGCACCTACTGTCCAACTATGAGCTGATTATTAGTGGAAGTGGAGTCCATCTGGACAATCACTCAAAGAAGAAAGAATGGTTACTTACTCTGCAGTAACTGGTTTTTCGAGACATGTTGTCCACATGGATTTCATAACCCACCCTCCTTCCTCACTTCTATGGAGTCCTATAGCTACAGGATTCTGAATTGGCGAAGGAACTGAGGAAAGGTTGGGTCCTCTCTGTCCTTTATGTTCTTGAGTGGAAGATATCCATGGCACAGGCATGGCCCTAATGGACAGTCCTAGCCAAAAAAATCGGATCTCATGTGCATTGGGCACATGCGCACCAGAAATGGAATCCATGTGGACACCACATCATGAAGAACCACAGTTATTGTAAGTACCATTCTTTTTCCTCTTTTTTTTTTTTTTTTTGGTCCTTGGAATTGATCAGCTCAGAGACTTTCTCCCCCGCCCCCCAAATCCTGATTAAATCACAAGTGGAATAGATTTGGTAGGACTAATCCTAGTTCCTATATGTCCCTAGTGAAACCTTCCACAGATTGCTGGCACAGCTCAGTACAGCTGTCAAGTTTCCCACTAGTGAAATAGTTTGGGGATGGATGGGGGCATGTTGCAAGTCAGTGTTGCAGAGCCATGTGGAGAAGCTTTACCTGTGCCTATATCCATTATTGTTAGCTTAGTGTTACTGCTGCTAGCCCCCCTCACATTTATGACTATAGTTCTCTTATCTTACAGATTATACATGTAAGCTAATTTTTTCTTAACCCGCTATCAGTTGTTTTAAGCCAATGAATGTAACTTATCAGATATCGAGTCAAATGGAACTTAAGAACATGCTTTTAATTAGCATCTGTATAAGTGCTTTGATGAATGGGAATGGTTTTCTGACTCAGGTCCTAGTGAGAGGAGAGATGTGAGGTAGGGTCTGAGAGGGACAGACAGCAACCATGAACATACATTTTCATTGACTGAAGTAAAAAGAGTTAGATGTAATTCAGGTAGCAGTGACCTCCAGCACTTTGGTGGGCTCTGTAAGCAGAGAACATAAGAATGGCCATACTGGGTCAGACCAAAGGTCCATCCAGCCCAGTATCCTGTCTTCCGACAGTGGCCAATGCCAGATGCCACAGAGGGAGTGAACCTAACAGGCAATGATCAAGTGATCTCTCTCCTGCCATCCATCTCCACCCTCTGACAGACAGAGGCTAGGGACACCATTCCTTACCCGTCCTGGCTAATAGCCATTAATGGACTTAACCACCATGAATTTATCCAGTTCTCTTTTAAACTCTGTTATAGTCCTAGCCTTCACAACCTCCTCAGGTAAGGAGTTCCACAAGTTGACTGTGCGCTGCGTGAAGAAGAACTTCCTTTTATTTGTTTTAAACCTGCTGCCCATTAATTTCATTTGGTGGCCCCTAGTTCTTATATTATGGGAACAAGTAAATAACTTTTCCTTATTCACTTTCTCCATATCACTCATGATTTTATATACCTCTATCAGAATTGAAAAGAGAAACCCTCAACACAGCTTTAAAGTCTTAGGAATGTGTTCACTGTGGGAAGAAAATATTCTTATAGGTAAGGCCCTGTTGGAGTAAAGCCTTTAGCGCTATCTACTGTATGTCTACTTAAATTAAAGGAAACTCTTCAGACCACCCACATCTTTCTCTGCTTCATTGTTGTTTTCAGTTTGCTTTTTCAGAGGGATTAGTGCTAGAGTAAACTCCATAGCCTCACAGCCTCAAAAAATTCAGTTCTGTGTAAAGTGAAAATTCGACTCTTAAATCTGCAAAGTGAGCTGTTTATCTTACAAATTTATTCTTTTTTATTGGGCCACACATATTCTAGATAGAAAGATAAAAGGGAAATAGATAACAGACCATCATTTACAGTGACATATAGCAAAACATAACTAGTACTCTTATTCTGTAAATTCATCCTGAGTGGCTTGTTAACTTTATCTATATATTTATCTATAGTGTTCACAAAGTGTTTATTGATCAGTTGAGAGTTTTTCTTTTCATTGTCATCATACATACAGTATTTTGCACTTCACAATCTCAAAAATGCTTTTCTCTAAAGTAGTTTTGGACCTTATCATATAAAACTCTTTTGTTGAACACTCTGTACAAACAAACAGTGGAAAATCAGAATTCCTTGGGCAATTCGGAAATATAGGTTTGCACCTATCTATGTGTTCCTTGATCTTGAAAGACAGCATATTATGTTACATTTAAATACTTGTGAATAACTCAAAATGACAGTTACTGGCCTTCTACTTAAATATTGTGTTTTAACTCTGCAATATTTCAAGTAGAACGAAGAACTTTCAGAGAATATAGTCAGGCATGTATTGGTTTTAGAAAGCTATGCTTTTTCACCTTTTAAAAAGTGACCATTACAAGGCCGAGTGCAAGTATATGGCAAAGCATATTCCTGGTGTCTTTTTTTACAGATGTTTCAGCCATAGAAATATTTGCATTTCCATAAAGAAACTATTCTTCTATTTAATATGGTACAGAGGAAAGCTAGCTGGGAGTTTAGAACTTTAGATTTCTGTTACTAATTATTAGATTTTTATATTGTTTGCAGCTTTCTTAGGTAAGAGCATTTTGTTGTTGCAATTAAAAATATGACTCTTAAGGCTTTTCTGGATTCACAAGTTCACACATAGCTCTAGCTGTTCTGTCAGTCTCACTCGTGTTTTCATCACTCCCCAACCTTCATCAAAATAGTGACAGTGTCCATTATATGGTATTTGCTCAAAATTTCTACTGTTACCTTGTTCAGTAATGCAGTATTGGGGTCTGTGCTACTGAATGTTTTTCTTAAGCCAAATGTTAAATACTTTTTGTTATGTCCTATCATTTCTGAATGAAAGACAACTCCGTGTAAATTGCATTCCATCTTCTGATAGCTTTGGTTACATAGCAAAAAGCTGAGGATGGAACAATTTTAATCAATACTTTATGGGGAAAATTATCAAGGCTGTGCACAAAGATTTAACTATATGTTTCCTGTTAATATCAATGGGAGCTGCACAGCTTAACCTCTGCACACAACTCTCAAAATGTACCTATGTGTAGTCTGCCCCTGTAGTATAACAATATTGTAATTCCATTTCAAAATTTCTACATTTGCCATCCTACTTTCTCTGCTTTTGTACTGATGCATGTATGTCACATATTACATGGGAAATCTTCATAAATACAAAGTGAAATTTGAGATATAAGATTGGTTTTAATAATCACCTTTTAAAAATACCCTACCTTTTTTGTAATTTTCCTGTCAGTCTTATGCCTAAACTGTAACTCACTTTGTTCATATCCTGCTTGAAGCATATTCCCAATAGCCATATTGTTCAAAATGCATGAGAAAATAACATCTTTTTTTAATTAGAAGATCTAAATGTTGTCATATTAGACACAGCAGCTATTGCAGTAAGATGTACAGTGAGCGTGCCCCCATATATGAAAATGTAGAGGAGAGTAGAAGAGAAAGTTCCCCTCACCTGGCCTGCTTTTTCATTGGCTTTCCCTGACATTAAGCCAGTCATTTTGCCTTGTGCAGCCTAATGCCAATGATGGAATACTGTGTTAGAAAGGTGGCATTATCTGTTCCAATTTGTCTGATGAAAGGGAGGCAGTGTCACTTCTTCAATCTTCCCCAATATCTTCACAACTGTATTGTTGTTGTTTTTTAATTTTTTAATATAATTAATTAAAACTTTTTCATATTAAAATGCTCAACTTTTCAGTAATAATTATAAATTAACCATATTTAACAAAACAACTTTTTGAAACTTTTTGGGAAAAAATTAATAGGAACTAAGCAAAAGAAGAAATCAAACCAGCTGCTGACCCAGCTGTTTCCTTTCTTGTATAATTCAGTTCAATATAAAGGTACCATATGCTGTTTAAAGTGATGTTAGGAAAGATGAAATAATTTAAGAGAATAACAAGAAAATACATGAATTGTCAGCATTCTGTCAGATTTAAAGAATGAAATAGACAGGTGTAGTATTGACATGTTTAACTTTGTGTTGTGTTAGCAGTTTCAGCGAGAACAACTTCTGACATGTGCTGAAGTGATGTGAGAACATTTCTGTGTTTCAGACATCGGAGAAGAAGCTGGGAGATCGGTAGGAATCCAGCAGCCAGCTTTACTGAGAGACAGGAGCCTTGGTTCTGCCATGAAAGACTGTCCATATTGTGGAAAAACATTCAGAACATCACACCACTTAAAAGTTCATTTGAGAATACATACAGGTGAGAGGTGCAGGAAAGTGTGGGTGTTCTATGCCATAAGGTAACAGGCTGGAGTTGTTAAGATGTCGCAATACATGTATGGATGGGAGTTGTAATTTCCAGTATAGACTGGTACTCGGAGTCCGTTGAGAAAGATATATGGCAACATTCCTAAATAAAAAATACAGGAATGGTTAGATGGAGGAAAAGGCCACGTTAACAGAATCATCCTTTTCCAATTGTGGTTGTCTCAGGGCTTGTCTGCGCAGTGTTTGAGTTCGTACTAGAGGGGAGTAAGTTCTGGTGTGCACTAGCATGTTGTGCACCACCCTGCTGATGTGTAGGGAAAGTTCCCTAGTGCATATCAATGGGGTACTGTTTCAATTGGGACTGCACTAACGCACTCTAAGGAACTTTTAGTGTGCTCCTGCAGGGTCCACAAAGGTGAGTTAGTGTGTAACACGCTAGCGCATACTAGAATGTATATCCCTTTGGTGCGCACTAATGCACTGTGTAGGCGCACCCTCAGAGTCACCTGCCTTCTTCACTGTTTCCTTCTGTTACCCTGGTTCTTCTGCATAAGTCTATTTCAGACTTAGTGATGCTAACTGCTTTGATGGCCTCCCTTAGCATATATTTAGGGATTCTCTATGGTTTTGCTCTGTTATTATTTTTGTTCAATTTATTCTTAATATATTCATTTTAACCTCTTCCTGTATACATGAACACTTTAGCTTCTTCAGTTTTATCAAATATGGGTATAGCTTGTCATTTTAATGTTAATTTAGAATCTTGTCAAAGTCCCTTTCCATGTGTCAGAGGCTGGGTTTCCGAGCCCAAGCTCCAGCCTGAGTGGGAACATCTACACTGCCATTTTTAGTTCTGTAGCACGAGCCCAAGTCTGTAGACCTGGGCTCTGAGACTTGCCACCATGGGGTTTTTTTTTGTGAGAGCCCCACAAACCCAAGTCTGTAGACCAGGCTCTGAGGTTTTAATGCCGTGTGGACGTACCCTGATACTTTTTTCCATGTGCCTGTATGGGATAGTATATTCTGAATTCTTCAGTCCTACAGTAACTCTGGGAGACTCTGCAAGGTGGGAAAAGGAGGATTGAGCCCTCCCAAAAGTTAAGTATATTTGTCACATGACATGGGTGGCAGGGACTCCTTTCTCTCTCCTCCTCTGGAAGCCATGCATGGGGGGTTATTGCAGGGCTTTTGTGGATAGTAACTGCTTAGGACTGCGTAGGCTGCATGTGGATAGGTCCAAAGTTGAGACTGGCATGGGCGGTCAAGAGCTCATATATTAATTACCCACATACAGTCACTTCTGCTACTCACTGGCAGGTATGGTTCTTTCCTTCCTATTCAGCAGGATAGCCTGTTGGGTAATTTGAGTGGCTCAAATGGGTGGTCATCCAGGATTTTCGCTGCCAGTAACATCCCAGTTATTTTAGGAAATATGGAGCCAATGGTGTATACACTTCTACAGTTCATAGGCACAATGAACAGGATTAGGAAATACTTTCCAGCTGTATCTCTTGAGTTTATTATCTTTGCCATTTTTTCATTCTACAAGGTATGTTTTTTTCATATGCAAATGCTATTTGTGTACCCAAATCAATGATTTAGGTGTCTAACCTGTTTTCATGCAAACATGTAATTCTGGAGTGTACAAAATTGACACTGGATTATTGGGTATGCAAATGGACAGACTGCTTTTGAAAATATGACTGGAAGGGCTGAAAATCAGCAAAAACAGGAAATTGAAAGGAACAGATGGAGATTATGTCTTATCTCTTCTCCTTGTGTCTTTGAATTGTGGTACAATGGTTGACTATATAGAGACTGCTTTTAAGGTCACTTTGAAAATTTGGCTTTAACATTGTTTAATTCATATAGAAAGTAAACACTTTAGGATTGTCCCTTTACTACGTGTTTGGAGTTTGTACCGTTCCTAACACAATGGAACTCTGATCCCTTTATTCACTACTATAATAAAAGTAAATAAATAGTAATTACATTATTTTAAAGGAGTCTTGTAAGCATAAGTTTTAAACTATTTTAACCCGTTTCTAATGGAAGATTTATAGAAAAAATATTTTAAAATAACCTGAGTGCAGTCCTCTTTCCTTCCTCTATCAACATCTTATTAAAATTAAGTGGTCATTCTGTTTGTTGTTTTAAAGATGACACTGATTATGCATTCAGTATTTGTGGCTCAGAATCCATGGACAATAAGTGAATTACAATGGAAATATTCCATAAAAATTGTGCTTTAAAATTTACTTACAAAATCAAAACAAAAAGATAAACCTTCATGTAAATAAAGAAAAGAAAATGATTTGGGGAAACATAGGCCATGCAAACAACGTTTGCAATGTATTTAAAAAAGCATAATAATTTTAAAATAGATAAAGATCGATTTCCATTGAACTAAGAACAAAGTATTTCTAAAATTATGAGAAGAGTATGTTTAAATGAAACAGTGTGTGTTACATATAATAAATAGTCATAATAAACATTATAAAATGGCAAATTACAAGAGTTATTAAATCAAAATTAAGTTGTTATGCAGTAAATGGAAATGACGTAATAAATACCAATTATTAAGCAGATATTATATTGGTGGTTTTATACTTGTCTGTGACTGTATTTTGTCAGTTCCCTGCATTTTATATCACACTCTGTCTTTATTATATGTCAGGATCATATAACTGACTGATAAAAAAAAAAACATTTCACTGTATTTCTCCACTACATTAACTCAATTACTGCTCTTGTTCTCATGGCACCTGCTTGTCAGAGATGAGCTTAAGCAATTTAGAAAAAGTTAGGTTCCTTCCAATGTGTGGGTGCTTGGAGGCACACAGGTAGAGTGCTTTGTGCCCCAGCCAACACCAACTAACAGTATGACTACACTGCATTGTAAGCCCAGGCTCGGGCTCGGGCTCAAGCATGATTCCCCTTCTGTCTACACACAAATCTGTCTGATTCAGGCCTGTGCCCAAGCCCCAGGAACCCGCAGGAGCGGAGTGTTCGAGCCTGGGTCCTGCAGGGTTTGGGGCCAAAACCCTATTAGTTTGTAGTGTGGACATAGCTTGGGCCCAGACCCTCTGGCTTCAGGCCCTGAGTGTCTGCTAGGTGATGTCCTACAATCCCGTAGGTCAGTGCTCTTTGTCCTCTCTGTCCCAAGAGTAGCCAGTCAACTCCCAGGAAACGGAAGCAACGCCCCCTTTGTCAAGTACAATAGCTCGGCATTTAAGCCTTGCATTTTATTCTGACTACTGAGCTGCAAACACATTGAACTGTCTCCTGTGTTTGCAATGGATACCAACCAGAAGAAGTCCTTTGCCAATTGTGCTACTTCCTGGCCAGATTTTGGTGAATTTCTGATGCAAGGCAAGCAAAAAGTTTGATGACCATGTGAGCCTGGAAATAGCGAAGAAGATGGCAGCATTGGAAATTCACTGGACCGGTGACCAATGTCAGGAGAGGACTAAGCAGTTCAAAACCAACTATCAGAAAGCCAGGGATGCAAACCACACCTTTTGGAACTCACTGTTATCCCACCTCTTTTACGAGGAGTTTGACCAAGCGCTGGGTAATGCACTGAACACTGACCCACTAGACTTCACAGCAGTCTGGTCAACCAAGATGGTGACTCTCTCACCCCTGAATCTAGAATAGGACTGGAGGGGATACAGCAGGTGCTGGAAGAGGCTACCAAAGTGATTCTGGTGCTGAGACCGGTCCCTGAGGAGGCTTTGCTGCTGGAGCAGCTGCAGAAAATCCTGGGTCCCTACTTGGAGGAGCTTTTTAGTGCCTCCCCTCCTATCCCCAGAGTAGCAGTCCGCCATGGAACCTGAACAGAAACTGAAGAAGCAGAAGTCACCCTTGAGCCTGGTAAGTTTCTGGTTCCATTTTTGTTTTTATGAATATAGTAATGGGAGGGATTTCCAGTTTATGAACCAATGCAAAAGTTATTACCAGCCACAGGTAGCAGCATGTATTTGCTAATGGCAGATTGTACGCCAACAGCTTAGCATCCCTTCCATCTGTCCCCAATACCACCACCTCATGGAATTCAGAATGGAGAATCGGAAGTGCGAACAGTGAAACAAGCATTTAAAAAGTTTTAATAGAAACTTGCACATTCTTGCTACAACATGCCAGGGTATGAAAAATGTGAACTTTATATTAGTTCCCCTATTACTACGCCACTCCATATCAGCCTAAAGGTTTAACAAGCCATCTGTAATCAATGACCTGTAGGGGGGAAGGGTGAAATTTACATGTACATTAACAAGTGTAGTACATTTAAGCTAATGTAGTCCCTATAGTCCATGGGTGATTAAATCATTTGTCCAAAATACAGGTGGGGGGGTTGTATGCAGTCAAGAAATGTGCTGAGGGGTAATGGAGTTCTTGGCAAGTCCATTGTTAGTATATGTGTTTGCATGCAGTCATAACTGGCTGTATTGGAAGCTGTGGGGAGGCGGTAATCCATGCAGATGTAACACCGACAGACCCCAGTCGTTGGTGGGCGGGATCAAACCTGGGACCTTTAGAGCTTAGTGCATGAGCCTCTACTACATGAGCTAAAAGCCAACTGGCTCTTAACTAAGGCTGTAAAGTAGACTCACTTCATCTTTCTCTTTAAGTGGTCTCAGTGCCAGTAGATGGGACAGAACACCACACCAGAAGGTGTGTGGGTTACACAGACACTAACAGAGTCTTTTGTTTGCCTCATGATTTTTGACCCAATTCCAGGTGCTGATAGCTGCAAACTTTCCCCATAGCAGGAACTCCAGATAGGTAGTCACATTTTGGGAAAGGGCATATTTTGGGGTGCCACGTGGGTAGGTGATCAGCCCACTCCACTCATAGATGTGCTCTTCAGTCACCATAAGTTTGAAAACTTATGTGCCATACATGACTGGCTTGCCACCAGCAGCTTGGAATAAAACGTCCCTTTGCCATTCTGGAACCACAAGAATTGTTATGTCCTCCAAAATATGG